ATGGAGCTGATCATAGGGCTGATGACATTGAACATTCTGACTCAGCCTCTGATTCCCATGATTCCGTCCAACCAGCGGGGGCTGCAGAAGACACTATGGACAGATCCCCTGAGTTTAATAAATTTGCTTCACTTGTAAGCAGAATGATAAAGGCTTTGGACTTGCCGGCACCAAAGCCCTCCGAACATGTGGAGGACCCGATGTTCCCCTCGGATGAGCAGAACATCGCGTCCTCCACCGCGTTGCCACCCCTACCTTACCTGCTTAAGTTGGCCAGGATATCTGATACGCCTCCTCCCATGGTACCTGCCGTCCCTAGGAGGATAGATGCTTTGTATAAAATTGATTTGTCCTCAGCCAAGTGGGTGTCTAATCCGCCCAGGCCAAACACGGTGGTTGCTGAGGTGGCCAAAACCAAGCGCCAGAAAGGTACATTAACTACGCCCCCCGACAGAGAGGGTAGAAAGTTGGACTCATTGGGCAGGAAAGCGCATCTTTCCGCAGGGTTGCTCACACGAATGTCTCATTTTGCCACTTACATGAGTGGTTATCAAAATGTCCTATGGACAAAAATTTTACCTTACTTAGAATCTCTGCCAGCGGAGGAAAGTCGCTTGCCGAGGGAATTGCAGGCAGAAGCCATTGCGTTGTCTCGCCTTCAGAAGGATTTTGCCAAACATTTGGCCGAGACGGCGGGCAACCTTTTTGCCACCGCCACGTCTATCAGGAGACACGCATGGCTTAGGGCTGCTAATCTCTCGGATGAGGGCAAAGCCCTAGCAGAGGACCTTCCACTTCATGTGGAAGGACTCTTCAACCCAGATACCGATGAAAAGCTGAAGAGCAAACAGGAAGTTCGCCAAGCAGCAAGCAAATTTGGTTATTCCTGGCAACCGGGCTACCAATCAAAGCCTAGATGGCAACAGCAATCCCCTGGCTTCCGCAAGAATTATTCCAGCAATCCCGGGGGGCCCTATAGGAACCGTAATTCGGGTTTCTCTAGATTCCAAACGGCCCGCAGGGCCCCTTATGGTAACAGGTCCAAATTCCAATCGTTCCAGAATAAACCAAGGTCTCAACCCGCCTCCAAAAAGCGTGTTTGACACCCCCGCAGGAACTATGGAGTCTTCGCGGGATGTTGCTAGTGCACCCATTGTTGATAGTGCACCACACCCAATTGTTTTGCTGGCGGAGCCTCTTGGGGCCTGTTGCCCGAGTTCCCCATTGTTTTATGAAAGATTGGCGCCATTCCATAGTGTGTGGGCTCAGATTACTTCTGACAAATGGGTTCTTTCTATTGTTAAAAATGGTTATAGAATTGAATTTGAAAATGTTCCTCCTACCGGAAATCCGGTATCCACAACAGCTTCACTACCTTTGTTAACAGAAATTCAAACTTTGTTATCCAAGGGGGCCATTTCAACTGTTAGCCCTACCATGTTTCAATGTTGTTTTTTCTCAAGGTACTTTCTTGTAACCAAGCGGGGCGGAGGTTTTCGGGCCATTATGGACCTCAGATCCCTCAATAAACATATTTCTCCAAAAAGATTTCGGATGGTCACGTTGTCCATGATTATGCCCTTATTATTTCAGAATGCTTGATTTGCAACGGTGGACTTGAAAGATGCGTATTTCCACATATCCATAGTCCCTCACCACCGCAGATTTCTAGTTTTTATGGTCGGGAGCCAAGCCTATTGTTACAACGCCCTCCCATTCGGGCTTTCGACTGCACCCAGGGTATTTACAAAATGCATGTCGGTAGTTGCGGCGCATCTCCGCACCAGGGGAATAACGGTCTACCCCTATATTGATGATTGGCTGATTGTCGCCAACTCGCCTGATCAATTAAAACGACATGTTTCTGTCATTTTGTCTTTACTCCAGTCGTTGGGTCTGGTCATCAACCTGGAGAAGTCATCTCTCACGCCCACCAGACGGATTCAATTCATTGGGGCGCTGTTGGACTCTGTCTCCCAGAAGGCCTACCTTCCTCCGGATCGGTTCGCCAAGTTGCGGGAACTAGTCATGCATGCTGTGGCTGCCCCCGAGATTTCAGCAAAACAAATACAAATATTACTGGGACATATGGCGTCGACCACAATGGTTACCCCCTATGCCCGCCTGAAAATGCGACCCCTACAGTTTTGGTTTCTTTCAGTATTCAACCCTATCAGGGACCACCCCTCCACCAGGTTGTCCATTCCGTCCAATATCAGACACTCCCTCACGGAGTGGACGGACGAGCGTTGGGTGTGCAAGGGCCTTCCCTTTCAACCGCCTTCCCCTGTCAGATCCATAACCACAGATTCGTCGCTGAAGGGATGGGGGGCACATTCTCAGGGGCTGATCGCCCACGGGTTGTGGTCCATAGACGAAGCCGACATGCACATAAACATGCTCGAGCTTCTGGCGGTCGACAGGGCTCTAAAATCATTCGAAGGAGTGGTGTCAGGAAAAACCATTCAAGTGCTCACCGACAACACTACGGTGATGTTCTATCTGAACAAGCAAGGCGGCACTCACTCAGGCCCTCTATTAGACCTGTGCATGAAAATTTGGAGTTGGTGTATCCACAGAGGGGTTCATCTCATAGTCACTCATCTTCCGGGCGTCGACAACGGACTCGCAGACGGTCTGAGCAGAAATCCCATGGCCCACCACGAGTGGTCCCTGAACGGAGAGGTGATCTCCGACCTGTTCAGACTCTGGGGCAGGCCGGAGGTGGACCTATTTGCAACCCACCAGAACGCCAAGTGTCGACTGTTTTGTGCCCGTTGCCATCCGATTCCGCAGATGGGCTGCCTGGGAGATGCGTTCCTGTACAATTGGGGGGGCAGGCTGGTTTATGCGTTTCCCCCCTTCCCCCTGTTACTTCGGGTAGTTGCGAAAGTCAAGAGAGACAATGCAGATTGCATTCTGGTGACACCCTGGTGGCCCCGACAGCCCTGGTTCGCCCCCCTTCTCCAGATGGCGGGGAGCAGGTTCATCCACTTTTGCAGCAGACCGGATCTGCTGACGTCCCAACAGGATCAGGTTCGATACCCCGAGATACAGCAACTCGGGCTTACGGCCTGGCGAATTCTACCGACCCACTAACTGTTTTTTCAGACTTGTCGGGACCTGTCCTCTCTATTATTGAGGCGGCTCATAGACCCTCTACACAGCGATCGTATTTGTACAAGTGGGCTAGATTCAAGAGTTTTGTTGTACATAAGGGTGTTGCCCCTGAAAGAGCGCCTATTTCATTGGTTTTAGATTTCTTGGTTTCGTTATTAGATGCGGGTCTTTCGGGGTCGTCGCTAAAATGTTATTTAGCAGCCATTTCTTGGTTTAGACGGAAGGCTGGCCTTCCCTCGTGTTTTGGGGACCCGGTGGTTAAAACTTTTTTAAGGGGTGTTGCTAACACTAGGCCTTGTGTAGCCCCCATTCCCCCTTCCTGGAGTTTAGAAATAGTGCTGTCGGCGTTAATGAAACCTCCATTTGAACCGCTGGCGACGGCAGACCTGTCATATCTTTCATGGAAGGTCGCCTTCTTGGTGGCAATTACGTCGGCTCGGCGTGCCAGTGAATTGTGTGCACTACGGGTGGACCCCCCTTATCTTAAATTTCATAAAGATAAGGTTGTATTGCGCACAGACATTGCTTTCTTGCCCAAGGTTTCCACCAAATTTCACATGTCGCAGGAAATTGTCCTTCCTTCCTTTTTTCAAAACCCGAGTTCCCCTTTGGAGCGGGGTCTTCATTGTTTGGATGTTCGTAGAGCGTTGGCTTTTTACATAGACAGAACTGCTGAATTTAGGAAAACCCCTAGACTTTTTGTCAAGTATCGTAGAGACACGAGGGGGTTGCCATTGTCTTCCCAACGTTTTTCTTCATGGATGGTGTCTGTCATTCGTTTATGTTACAAAATGGCGGGGAAGGACTTGCCTCAGCAGATCAGGGGTCATTCGACCCGAGCGGTGGCGACGTCTACTGCTTTTTTGAAAGGGGTGCCTCTAGAAGCCATCTGCAAGGCTGCTATTTGGACAACGCCACTTACTTTCGTGTCGCACTACAAGATCGATGTTGCGTCCAGGAGGGCGGCCGAATTTGGGAGATCGGTTTTGTTCTCGGCAGTGGCATGACGCCCACCGTCCGGGGTTAGTAGCTTGCTAGTCTACCATGTGTGCAATTCATAGTTGACTACGACAGGAAATTATAAGTTGCTTACCTGTAACTGTAGTTTCCTGAGTAGTCACCTATGAATTTGCACAACCCGCCCTTCCTCCCCTCGAGTGTCATGCCCCCGCCTTCTGCTGTTTTTGGCGGAAGAGAACTGAGGGGGCCTGGCCCCGCGTTGGGCCATATATACTCGAGAGGGGAGGGGGGAGGGGGGGCGGGGCCAGGCGCTGTCAAAATGTGTTCTTTTTAGTTCTAGAAGGTTCCGAAGCTGTACTGCGCAGGCGCAGGAATACCATGTGTGCAAATTCATAGGTGACTACTCAGGAAACTACAGTTACAGGTAAGCAACTTATAATTCTCCCAAATCAGAGAAATCAAAGTTCATGATTTTTTCATATATGTACTAAGACTTCTGTGTTGACTGCCCAGAACAAGGAGCAGTCTTGGAAACGCTTGCACTGAGGACTGGTAAAGCTATCAGTAGCTCTCCTAAATTCTCACTTTCCCAGACCTTTTAATGGAAGAATGTAAGAAACAAATTTGGGGTTTTCTGTAAGTGAAGATTATATTCCGATCATCCTGAGACAATTGTCTAACTTGGAAGGAATGGCTGATTCAAATCATGGCTAGAAAAACTCCTTACAAGACATTTTGTTGCAGATCTCACTGATAATCATCATTCCCTTCCATGTTCTACATTTTCTTCAAGGAATGTGGAGAAAATCACAATAATAATAATAATAATAACAACAACAACAATAATAATATCATCACCATCATCAGATACACTGCTGGAATTGTGAACAGGATGCAAGCAGAGCTGGATGATACGGACAGAAAAACAAGAAAACTAATTACTCATTACACCCATGTACTGATGTTGATAGACTACCTGCCCAGAAAATCAGGAGGCAGAGGGCTTCTGCAAGTAAAACAAATGATAGAACAAGAGAAACACGCACTGGCAGATTATGTGAAAGGAAGTCAAGAACCAACATTGATGGAAGTCAATAGTAGAAAACTGCTTAAAGTGCAAAAGACAAAGAGAGAATACTGTAAAAATACAGTGCAAAGCAGAAGAGAAAACTGGCAAAAGAAGGCTCTCCATGGACAATTTCTAGAAAAAATTGAGAGCAAAATTGATAAGGAAAAAACACGAATGTGGCTCACAAATGGAACTTTGAAAAAGGAGACGGAGGGCCTGATTCTTGCAGCCCAAAAACAAGCAATGAGAACAAATGCCAAAAAAGCCAGAATTGACAAGTTGGCTACTGATTCCAAGTGTAGACTCTGCAAGGAAGTAGATGAAACAATAGATCCCATCCTCAGCTGCTGCAAGAAGATCGCGCAGACAGACTACAAACAGAGGCAAAATACAGTTGTTCAGATTTTTTTTCTTTGTGTCAGGAGCAACTGCAAGTTGCTTCTGGCTTGAGAGAATTGGCCGTCTGCAAAGACATTGCCCAGGGGATGCCAGAATGTTTTACTGTCCTGTGGGAGGCTTCTCTCATGTCCCCACATGAGAAGCTGAAGCTCACACACAGGAGCTCACCCCACTCCTTAGATTCGAACCGCTGACCTTTCGGTCGGCAGTCCTGCCAGCACAAGGGTTTAACCCACTGTGCCACCGGGGGCTCTTATGGTCCATTGGAACTTGTGCCACAAATACCATCTGCTTGTGATGAAGAACTGGTGGGTTCACAAGTCTGAAAAAGTTACAGAAAATGAACATGTCAAACTAATCTGGGACTTCTGAATTTAGTCTGACAGTTTTCATGTGAATGTTTGAATTATGACCCTGGAGAACAGGTTTCAAATCCCTGCTTGGCCATAAAAACTCACTGAGTGATCAAGGGCTAGATCACACTGTCTTAGTTTCAGAAGACCCCCATGATAAGGTCTCCATAAGTCAGAAATAACTTGATGATACACAATTGCAGCAACAATCCTGCCGTCTCGGACAGATAAAGCTAGCTTGTATTTAAAAATCATAGGCTCCATTTACACTGCCATGATAATGCAAATTGAACTGCATTATAAGATTGTCATGGACTCATATAATGCAGTTTAACTACATTGAACTAGATTATATGGCCATATAATGCAGTTCAATCTGTGTTATAATGGCAGTGTACATTGGACTTAGGCAAATGCTGTCAAAGGGGAAAATCTGTGGGGTTTTTTCGTAGCTTAAATGCAGTGGATTTCATACCGGAAAGAGGCAAAGTTTTCTGCCCTTCTGTATCAAAGCCCAGTAGAATTGTAAAGCCAGAGTTTGGATTACAGTTCCTAGAATCATCAGGGATTCTGGGAACTGTAGTTCTAAAAAGTTACATTTCAAAGTTCTGCTGGTTTTTTTTCTGAACGTCGAGCCGATGGATAAACAATAGGGAACAGGGTGAAAGAATTATACCCATACAAGACTAAAAGCCAGCATCATTAGTTTTATTTTTATGTGTTCTCTGTCTATTACAGCCTTTTCAAAAGTTTGTGCTTTTCATTTTCTCAAACAAGGAGGTTGATACATTCCGCTACTCTTTCATTCTGAAGCATCTTTCTATGCTCTTTCTCTGTCTTTCTTAGCAAGGGGATGAGTGAGGAGCAACTGAATCATTCATACCAGCATTGGCTCAGCATTGCAGAGGTAAGGAAGACAGTGCTTTGTAAGGCTGGGGTAGGGGAATCATAATAATTCCCCCTTAGACATTTCCATGGTCCACACAGAGGTAGCACAAACCTTTTAGGGTGCTGCTGCCCCTCTTTATCTCATTATTATGTAACAGGGTTGGAAATCATACAGTTCCTATCACCATTGTTGTCAGTGGTGGAAATGCTAGCAATTACAACCCAACAATCATACAAGTGGGTATTATTACAGTGAACAATAGGAAGCTAATAGGAAATTACTGGTGTTTTATGCATTGAATGCTTTTTACAGGGTTTTTATAATGTGTGCTAATTGTTTTTAATTTTGTTTGTTTATTGTGGCATCGAATTGTGCCAGTGTAAGCCACCTTGAGTCACCTTTGGCCTGAGAAAGGCAGCATGGAAATGCAGTAAATAAATAAACAACAAAGATATTTTTAAAAATTTCAGCCTGTGATGTTATTTCTTTATTTTATGCTCCAGCACATTCACATTTGGCCACAGATATTTTCTGTCATCGGGATATTATGATATAACGTGACTACAAAAATACTGCTTGTTTTGCAATCCCCCAAGACACATCTTCGGCCCCCTGATGGTGCAACAGGTTAAACCGCTGAGCTGAACTTGCTGACCAAAAGGTTGGCAGTTCAGATCCAGGGAGCAGGGTTAGCTCCCTCTGTTAGGCTCAGCTTCTGCCAACCTAGCAGTTCAAAAACCTGCAAATGTGAGTAGATAATTAGGTACCGCTTCTGTGTAAAGGTAACGGAGCTCCATGCAGTCATTCCAGCCGCATGACCTTGGAGATGTCTATGGATAACTCTGGCTCTTGGGCTTAGAAATGGAGATGAGCATCACCCCCCAGAGTCGGACACGAGTAGACTTAATGTCAGGGGAAACATTTACCTTTACCTTATGACACCTCCACAAGTGATGTTTGGTCCCTAAATCATGCTTTAAAGCAGCTTGAAAACATGACCGTTTGCATAAAATTAATCCCTAAAATCTTACTAGAAAAGGCTGAAAATCAGTCTAAACATAAAAAGTGATATAGTTGGCAGCACTTCACTATGGCAAACCAATAGGACGTGGAGTGAAAACTGGTTTCCACTTCAGCACAGTGCACCCCACTTCTCTATTGTGCTGCATAGAGGCTCTAATAATAGTAGAAGTTCTGAGTTGTTGTAGGTTTTTTCGGGCTATATGGCCATGGTCTAGAGGCATTCTCTCCTGACGTTTCGCCTGCATCTATGGCAAGCATCCTCAGATGTAGTGAGGTCTGTTGAAACTAGGAAAAAGGGTATATATATCTGGAATGATCAGGGTGGGACAAATGACTGGTCTGCTGGTGCTAGGTGTGAATGTTTCAATGTAGAAGTTCTGTAGCTACATACAAATCTTTTTTAAATGTTGTGGTTTTTTATACATTATAACTTTATTCTCAATTCACTTCTGACACTATAAATAAAAATAAATAAATACAAATCTTTGGCTTCCAGAAGTTTCCACCTACAGACAAATCAGAATTTATTATAGCCATGCTGCTAAAACCTTGGGAAGATGTAGCCCCCTAAATCTGGAAAGCCAAATGTTAACCATCTCTGCTGTAAACAAGATCTTTTCCTTGGTCCTGTTCCTCCCAGTTGGGACAAAAAGCTTAGATAACAAACAGTAACTTTGGCTAGCGAAACTACAAAGTCTAGCACTACTTTTAGTCCAATCTTCTCACAGCATGGGGTTTGAAACATCAGTATTTTATACAAATTCAGAGTTACACAGACAAAGTGTGCATGAGCAATATTTAAAGCATATGTGATCATTTTTATTTGAGGCCTATATGATCAACACAGAATGTAGCTGGAAATTTATTTATTGTCAAAATGGTTCACTAAAACAGATTGGCATACAGCTGAATCTTTAATTCTTATTTTATTCCAACACTTCTCCTGTTCTATATCTCCCTTTAGAGAGTTGCTGGCTCTCACCCACCCAAACACATCCTTTTGGCCTTGGAGCACCTGGCCCTTCGGAGTACTCAGCAGTTGCAGGAACTTACCAGCAACATCAACATCCTCCGTGACGTGGAAGCACTCAAGTAGGTCCTGTCCCAAGGCCAAGAGGCTGGTAACAAAGATCTCCAGAAGATCTATCTAATACCTTCTTTTTCTACTTTTTCGTGTGTCAGGAGCGATTTGAGAAACTGCAAGTCGCTTCTGGTGTGAGAATTGACTGTCTGCAAGGACGTTGCCCAAGGGGCGCCTGGATGCTTTACCATCCTGTGAGAGGCTACTCTCATGTTCCCACAGGGGAAGCTGGAGCTGACAGATGGGAGCTCACCCCGCTCCCCAGATTCAAACTGCCGACCTTTCAGTCTGTAGTTCAGCCAGCACAATAGTTTAACACAATGGGCTCTTCTTTTCTGCTAATGTCAGTGTTGCCCCACCATTCACAGCTGGAACGAACCTTGGCAGCAGCCTAAATGTCTTGCCATTCTGCCCCTCCCTCAGGTTTCGCTACAACAGCGGTCATCTCGAAGATGTCTCAGCCCCAGCCGATGATCTGCCCGCTGTCCAAAGCCTCATGCAGGTGAGGAATTTGGGCACTGATGAGTTTCCAGATGTAATAAGAGGTGGGGTGGCTAGTTCATAAGTATGTGTTCACCTGTCACTTGGAAGAAACATTCTGTGATGGCTTACATAAACACAGATAGGCAACTCCAAGGTGCTGTTCCTTGGAGCCTTTTGACAGCAACCCATTCAGCCCCTTTCACAGGTAATCTTGAGCACCAAAGATTACTTCTGGTTTCCTGGCTGCAGTCTGTGTCTGCAGTCATCTTTGTGCCTAGAAATACAAACTCTGTCACTGCCTCCTCGTTTTCTCCCTCTATTTGCCAGTTTTCAATCAGCCTGTTTGCCATCATCTTGTTTTTTTATGTTTAACTGCAACCCAGCTTTTGCATTTTCTTCTTTCACCTTGGTGAGAAGGCTCCTCAGCTCCTCCTCGCTTTCAGCCATCAAAGTGGTATAATCTGCATATTTATTTATTTACTATATTTATGTACCGTCCCTCTCAGCCCACAGGCGACTCGGGGCGGTTTACAGTCAGTACCAAGACCATAAAATACAACTAAAAACATTAAGATAATATAAAACCATAGCAAAGTCAATAAAAACATATATCATTAGGGTCTTCTTGTTAAAACCATTGTCCAATCAAATCGTCCAGTCGTTCCATTTTCCTATGTCTGTTACACTGTATTTGCAAACACCTACTCAAAAAGTCTTGACTTTTTTCTGGAATGTTAAAAGGGAGGGAGCTGATCTGATTTCGCTGGGGAGGGAGTTCCACAGCCAAGGGGCCACCACTGAGAAGTCCCTGTCTCTCGTTCCCGCCAGCCGTACTTGTGATGAAGGCGGGATCGAGAGCAGGCCTCCCCAGATGATCTTCTAAGGCTGTTAATGTTTCTTCCAGCAATTTTAACTCCAGCCTTGGATTTGTCAAGCCCCACACGTCGCATGATGTGTTCTGCATACAAGTTGAATAGGTCCTTTCAAATGTTTTTGTTCTTTCTCTCCCTTTTTTTTCTGGGGATAGGAGGGCTGGAGCAAATGTGAAACGCTCCATCTGGAACAGATCTCCCTGCATGCCCAGGAGAGGAGGCTGTCAGCACAGTTGGAAGGAGTTGTCCAAGAGATGCATCGCCAGCTGTCTGATGGCTCAGAGCATTCCATCCTAGCCAGGTAAGATTGCTCCAGTTCAGGGCTCCTCAAACTTTTTAAACAGAGGGCCAGGTCACAGTCCCTCAAACTGTAGGAGGACTGGATTATAATTTGAAAAAAACATGAATGAATTCCTATGCAAACTGCACATATCTTATTTGTAGTGCAAAAAACACTTAAAAGCAATACAATAATTAAATTGAAGAACAATTATAAACTTACTGGTATTTCAATAGGAAGTATGGGCCTGATTTGGCTGATGAGATAAGACTATTGTTGTTGTGTGCTTTGAAGTCGCTTAGGTTGACCCTGAGCAAGGGCCAGGTAAATGACCTTGGAGGGCTATATCTGGCTCTCGGGCCTTAGTTTGAGGACCTCTGCTCCAGTTGAATAGATGAACAAGGGAAAAGGGATGGTACACTTTAAACATGCACCCTTTCTCTCCTCTAAATCTTTGGTGTATGGCTATTAGAAAGTTAGCAAGAAGACTGCCTCTGAGATAAAACTGTCTGAAGGAGTTATTTCCCACACTGCCTATGTGGCATTTGGACCCAGAAATGGCTCTCAGTTTGCATACAGTTCACACGTTATACTTCCCACCCTGATCTCTTGAGCAAGTCACACTCAGCCTCTGAGGAAGGCAATGGCAAGCCTCTTCTGAGTATAAAATGGTTCTTGAAGCTCCTCTGATACATTTTCTGTCCCAAAAGCTTTGGCCACCATAAACCAGGCGAAGTTGCAGTCGTGGCCAAAGGGCTTGATGGCTGGGATAATTAATGTCATCCACAGCTCCTTGGCCTCCACAGCACCCCCCTTTGTCCTCCCACTTCTCTCAGGAGAGAGATATCTATAGATAGAGATATTTCCCCTGCCAAATAGTTACTTTACATGATGCCATGCCAAAAGAATGCCCAGATTTGCTCGTGGCCCTCAGCAGCCGCCTGGATGGAAGAGAAATCCTCTTCCCTTTCAAGCCTCAGCACAGGAATGTGTCCTCTTTTAGTCCTTTTTCCCCTTCTACAGGCGCTTTGTCTTGTCTGGCTTTCCAATAAAACAAAACACGGTCCTTCCTGACAGGTTGGCGAGAAGGGCTTCTTCCTTTCCTTTCCTGCCCTGCCTTCCCTCTTCTAGCAAACCCTGAAGGGAGGCAGCTGGGCTTTTCCTGCAGGGGTAAATCTTGCCAAGCAAAACTCTATGATAGACTTGCCAGAAATTGAAGTTACACACCAGCAAAATTTCAAACTACTTGCCACTATTCCATGCTGGCTCTTCTAGTGCAAACATCCTGGTAATAAATAAGGCATTTTACATATATAACTCAGCATGTTTGATTCTGTTATGCTGAAAACAGGCTGTCTCATAACATTTTATAAACTTACTAGCCGTCCCCTGCCACGCATTGCTGTGGCCCAGCCTGCGTATATGTGCTTTGTGTGTGTATCTATATATTTATGTATATGTGCATATATGTGTGTTTGTGTATATATGTGGTTTTGTGCATGTGTTGTAATGTATTTTTTATTTTTTGGCTTTTTAACTCTCATCTGCTGTGTTTTTCAATGTTTTTATGCGTGATGGTCACTTGTTGGCCTGATAGGTGTATTGTGTCCAAATTTGGTGTCAATTCATCCAGTGGTTTTTGAGTTATGTTAATCCCACAAATGAACATTACATTTTTATTTATATAGATAATTAATATTTGACCATATGCAAAACTGTCCTGAAACTCTCACATATTTAATTTACCAAGAAGTCATTTACATTCAGGCCTTTGGTACTAAGGTGGGATTCCGGTTTGGATTCTCCTTGTTTTTTGAGCACATTAAGAAGAGTGTCCTGGCAAAGATAAACCCCCCTCACTGTTTATAGTCCTCATCAAGAAAATAGATAAGCCAACGAGTTAACGGCAAGGAAAGCCCTCCCTCCATATCTGCCTGTGTCTCTCTTCTCATTGCTTTGTTTCTGAGCACATGGCAAACCCCTGAGTTCTCAATTTTGTTCTTTTCCTGTGAGCATGAAGAGACAAGATGTCTGCAGAGAGCTAGATAGATAGCTTGGTCCTTACTCCCCCCCCCCCCACCCCTCCTTTGATGACAAGATTCTTACCTTCTCAATGCAGAGCTGTGTTTGAGTTGGAGCTCCGAGCTGTCAGGCTCCGGGGATATAGGAATGGCCTTCTGGATGGCTGCCGAGAGCTGGAAGAGGTGGTAAGGACCCGACGTGAAGAGCTTCAGGGTTTGCAGGCGAAACGCCAGCGTATCCTGGACTTCCGCCACCTGGTCGTAAGTACTTGGAAAAGGATATGTCTTTGTGTCTTTGTGCATATGTCCTTGAGTTAAGTCCTTGGACAGTGAGCTGAAATCTTTGTTTACCCTCAGATGTGTTAGGTAATTCAATGGAAACACTGCTCCCTTTTTTTGAATGTGGTAAGGATTGTTAAAAATGCAGGTTTGGTGAGATATTAAGAGATAGGCAGATATTGTGAGACAATGTAGTAACGTTTTTCTGGAATTAAGACAATGTGATCATTTCCCTTCTCTGTAAATACAAGTTGCTTCCTCCTCAGACTTCCATGCCTAGCTTCAAGCAAAACACAAAGATTTCTTAGGTGGCATACAGCAGATGGATAAAGAAATATCCTTCTACCAACAAAACTGAATCTAAGTCTGGTTGCTAGCCTCAGATAATATAGATCTCCTTGAATAAGTGGGTTTTGCAAAATGTTGATCTACTTTTTTTTATAGTTGATTCAGTAGGATTGTTCAAATTGGGTCTAACAATTGGATTTTGGCCCTGATATTCAATTTTAGCTTGTCCAGTGGGTAAAACAGTAACTTTTGGTCCAGTTGGTTGTATTACCTAATATTATAATCTTACACAATCCCTCTTTAGGTTCTTTCTCCAGGGTTAGATGCTGCCCTACAATAACATTTATTGCATACATTGTGTTATTGGGAAGTGTGTTCCAGAAATGGGTTTAGTTGAAGACGTTGTGGGAGCATTTAAACAGAGGACAGAGAGGGATCTGTCAGGGATACTGTGGGCGCAAGATTCATAAACCGAGCAGGCCATTAAGACTAGGCGGCTTCCAAAGCAACCCTTTCAGTTGTGTGGTTTTGTTTTGCTGCTTTCCCTCTCGCAGAATGAGAAACAGCAGCACATCCGACTGCTCATCAAGGGCACCTCTTACATAAAATCCCAGCTCCAGAAGGACCAGGTTGAGGTGAGATGGCTTTTGTGCATGTGTTTATTGGAAGGGATGGTAATGGGCCGAAGGTTGTTCCTTGGAGAGGAGAAGAAGAGTGTGCCTCATAAGAGAAGCAAAGAAAGGGGCTCAAGTAAGCGGAGCTGCAGGAGGGTTTCAGATCGGATGAGAGTGTAGCCTTATGTTTCAAGCTACTCTTGCCCCTCTGTGTTTAGAAGGAGGAGGAGGGGGGGAGGAAGGAAGGGGAAGGAACAAGGAAAGAAGAAAGGAGAGAAGAGGGACAGAAGGAAAAAAAAAAGAAGAGAAGAAAAGAAGGGAAGAACAGGGAAAAGAGGGGAGGAAAGAAGGAAGAAGAAAAGAAAGGGGAAATGAGGGAAAGAAATGAGAGTTCTCTCTCCAGGAGATGAAGCCAATGGCCCCCTTCCCTCTGCTACCAGGTCAGCCATCCTTCTCTCTCTCTCTCTCTCTCTCTCTCTCTCTCTCTCCTTGAGCAAAAGTTGAGCAAAAGATAATGACAGAGCTTTTTCTCAAAAGGGCATTTTGGCTTCTCCCACAAATTGCATAACTATTTCATTTTAAAGCAGAGAACGGAGAATACCATCACATGACAGAATTGGCCATTTTGCCCATCTCTATGCAGATAACTTATTTAAAAAGTCACTTGCCAAGCAAGATAACTTATTACAACATTTCAAAAATGCCAAGATATTTCTACCCTACATTTGAAACTTACGTCATGGGATGAACACAGTAGGATGCAGTTTCTTAAGTGAGTGGCTCAGTAGAATTTAATGCATGTGATGAAGTGGTAGGAATCTCTAGGTACTCCGGAAGAACTTTATGGGCAACTTCAATCTGTTCTGTGGACTTAATAGGTTCTCCAGCACAATCCCATGGTCAGCTTCTAGCACAGTCACTGCAGCTATGCTGGAGGACCTAGAACAGTGGTTCTCAACCTTCCTAATGCCGCGACCCCTTAATACAGTTCCTTACATTGTGGCGACTCCCAACCATAAAATTATTTTCATTGCTACCTCATAACTGTAATTTTGCTACTGTTATGAATTGCAATGTAAATATCTTATATTCAGGGTGTATTTTCATTCACTGGACCAAATTTGGCACAAATATCCGATACACCCAAATTTGAATAATAATGGGGTTCAGGGAGGTTGATTTCGTTATTTGGGAGTTGTAGTTGCTGGGATTTGTAGTTCACCTATAATCAAACTTGGCACACAGAACTCCCATGAATAACAGAAAATACTGGAAGTGTTTGGTGGGCATTGACCTTGAGTTTTGGAGATGTAGTTCACCTACATGTATTGTTTGTGTGTGTGTGTGTATGCATATCTTGTAAGCTGCTCTGAGTCCCCTTCAGGGAAAGAGGGGCGGCATATAAATGTCGCAAATAAATAAATAAATAAATACACGGCGGACTCAAATAATGATGGATCTGGACCAAACGTTGCACAAATACTCAGTATGCCCAAATGTGAACACAGGTGGAGTTTTGGGAAAATAGACTTTACATTTGGGAGTTGTAATTGCTGGGATTTATAGCTCATGCACAATCAAAGAGAATTCTGAACCCCACCATGATAGAATTGGGCCAAACTTCCTACACAGAACCCCCATGACCAACAGAAAATGTTGTGTTTTCTGATGGTCTTTGGTGACCCCTCTGACACTCCCTCGTGACCCCTCCCCAGAGGCCGTTACCCCCAGGTTGAGAAACACTGACCTAGAGGTTCCAAGAGATATTCTCTCAGATTTTTTTAAAATTCGCTGTGTTTTCACTTTTGCAGTGGTTCTGTGCCTCTGACCCCCTCAAAGTGAAGGATGGACTGACAGATTATTTCATAATAAACACAAAATGTAGCAGAGAACAAGGAAACCTTTTATTCTTTTCTGAGTGGAATTATTGAGATTGCCACTTCCTAGCCCTGGAAAAACATTTGGGGGTCTTTGTTTCTCTTGAGTTCATGCTGATTCAAATATAACTCTTCACCAGATACAGGACTTTATAGAGATGAAACTACTGCCTCAAGCTCATCAGGTAGAATTGGAAACGCAGAAATTGTATGACCGAGTGAATCGTGAGGTCCAGCAGTTTGGGGCCATTGCCCTTCCTTGCCTCTTGCGCCGCAAGCTCCCTGGGTACGTACTTCCCAATCTCCTCCCTGTGTTTGAATCATGTTATTGGCTCAGGAAACCCAGGGTTAATGTAACTCAGTGCTTTACCAGGGACAGGCAGTAAATGAGTGCCCATTGGGTACAATTGCTTCTTTCTTTCTTGGAATCCTGCCAGGGACTGACAGCCAATGATTCAAGGACCAGAATCTGCTCAGGGACCACCACTTTGAGTAGCCCTGGTTTAGATGATGATAAATTTCCAAAACTTCTCAGCTTTATTTCTTTTTAAAAAATTATGGGTAATTCCATGCCAAGTGGTGTAAAATTTTAAAAAGTTTCCACCATCATGTTCTCCAGTTTTGTTCAAATTTAACTGTAGCACCAGTCAGGTGTGAAACTAAGTTTCCCAAAATTTTAGGTCTCCAACTGCAATAGTTGCCGATTTAGACTCCCTTATCTGAGGAGTAGTCAGTCAGCTTGCACACGACATTTAACTGCTGGAATCCAGCAAGTATCACATCTTAGCGGCCAATAAAATGGATTAGCACGACTATGAGGATGCATAATGCATAAATACACAAAATATAACATACTTTGACCTGAGTAAAAGGATACTTAATGGTCACATTGCAAACAAAAACATATCAGTCTTGTAGAGCAAAAATTTCTCTTTCAGATTATACTATTCACAAGTATATTCAGGAAGATTCTTTTTTAATAATTGGCATTGCACTTGGGTAGATTTTATCATTTGCACTGACAATGCCAAATCTGAAGAGATCCTGCAGGGCAGCTACAGATGCTGGATAGTTGAAAATCTGGCAGTATTATGTCCAGCACAAGCATAATTCTTGGTCAGAATTTCAAGTCCGTATCTTCGTTTGCATGGAAATAGTTGTAGTCTGAATATTGGTCAAAATTTGTTACGATGAGTCTCGACTCATGCACACTTGTTTGACTGGATTTTGCATCCATAATGTTGGAATTAATTTCATCAGAATCAGCAGAAAAAACTGGACAGGATTTCATTTTACAGGATTTCATTTTACTAGCCATTCTTACACATTTAGTTTCCATTTTATTAGACCCCCAAAATGGCATTTTGTTGACTGTCATGCACATTCTGACTGACTACCCTTCAGGTCAGAGGGTCTAGATCAGCAACTATTGCAGTTAGAGACCTCAAAATTTGGAAAACTTAGTTTCACACCTAACTGGTGCTCCAGCTAAAATTTGAACAAAATTTGAGACATGAATTTGAGACCACTTGGCATGGAATGACCCTTATGCTTTGTGATAGTGTGTAATTTTTAACATCTTCCAAACTTCAGAGGCTGAAAGAACAGCCTGCAGAAAAAGTGAGCTTAGTGAACGGACATCAGCAAAATCATAATAAATGGAAACTCATGGTAGTCGTGGAATTGTAAGCAGTAAGGTTTGCCTGATTGAAGTCAGTCCAAAAATTTGGCCTTTTTTCCTGCAGAATGAAAGGCTTCATCCAGTGTAGTGTGTAGTCTATGATGACATGAAATGCAAGGGCATTGAGAGCAGAAGGTATTACTTTCAGTGAACTTTGAATTTGAAGACACCTGTCTTTCTTCCCGTATCTTCCAGTTCTAAGTACATTCCTGCCCATGAGCTTTCTATCCACCGCTTGAGCCGGATGGCACCAGCAGAGTACCGAGCTTTTCTCAATGTGTGTAGCGGAGCTGCCTTCCCCCTTTACAAGGTACGTATCTCCCACCATTGGGACACATCTAGAAAAAATCAGAAGTAGCAAATTAGAGCTGAATCATGTCAGGTTAACACAAAAACAATTCCATATAAAGTTAGAAGTAACTGATGGTCATGGACTCTCAAGAGCCGTTGCCCGTTACAATAGATCAAAGTAATCCTGCAAATGTTATACTACAAATCTCATCAGATCTAGCTGATAGTAGGAGATGATGGGAGCCGCAATCAAAAGAACCTCTGCAGAGACGTAGATTACATTCCTGTATAGTAAAATAATACTGTTCTGAAGGAATGATGGGCTGCATGCACTTTACAAGAATATTTTTGAAAGGATGAGAATTGAGTGTGAAGGGGAGACTCAGGCTGTTTTTTGAGTGCCAGGTTCTTCTCATCCAAAACACTGTTCCAAAACACTTTCAGGATTTGTGATTCTTCTCTAGAGCAAAGTGTGCCTTCATCAAACTTTATTCCAGTAAAAAAAAATTGTGGCCATCTCCCACACAACAGTTTTAGCACAGAAGGTTAATTACCAGTTGCAGCTGCAGTAGATCTTGCCAGCCAAAAGGTTGACAGTTCGATGCTGGGTCAGGGTGAGCTCCTGACCTTCAGCCCAGCTCCCCGCCACCTAGCGGATCGAAAACAGTAATGTGAGTAGATGACTAGGAACCACATTAAGTGGGGAGGTATTTTAGGTACTGTGTTTTGGAGGAAAGTTTACGAACAAAGAAAGCTCTTTTGGCAAGGAACGACAGCCCCCAACCCCCATGGCTGGAACCAAGCACAGCCTCTAAAAGTTGTCGAATGAGGAGGAAAAGACTAGACATACCTCTATCTGTTGTCTGTCTTGTCATTGTATAATCGTCATTTAATGTTTGCCGTATTTGGGTTGTGTGATCCACCCTGTCCCCTTCAGGATGAGAAGGGTGGAATATAAGTACTGTAAATAAATAAACAATAAATATTTCCAAATTGGACAGGGTTCACACAGGGTTGTTGGTTCGGCTTTCCAGAAAGTCTTGGAAATGTTTCCAGTGCTTGCAGCTCAGGAATAGAGAACATTGGCCCTCCAGAATTCACTTAGGGCTGGAAGGAGTTGTCATCAGGCATCAGGAGGGCTGAAAGTATCCCACCCCCCCCCACCCCCCCGATGCAGAAGTGAGCCCGTGCTCTTTCTCCTACCAAACCCCTGCCTTTCTCTGCCCCTCTGTAGGCCCCCGAGCAGCTCCTTTTCCACATGGCTGACCTGAAGAAGATGGTCTTTGGTCTGCGTGCCCAACTAACATCCAAACAGCAAGCTTTGGGCAACCTGCAGCACCAGCTGGACGAGGCTCCAGAGCCCAACATTCAGGGTGAGTTGACTCTCCAGTCCCAGCTTTGCCCAGTCCTTTACAGAACTAGCAAATGCCAGGATTACGAGACAGTTTCCAATACTTAATACTTCTACGGAAGTTTTTCCATTCCTTTAACAAAACCAAAACGAAGCAGTGTTTCATAGAACATAAGTAACAATGAATGGATCCCAATACTATATTTGGCAAGCTTGTTTGGTCTGTCTCTGATACTGAAATAAGCAGTGTAAATTATTCTGCAGAGATTGACAACGAAACCAGGAATACCACAGCGAGTTAAATAGATGAGAGTTTAGAATTGTTTTTATCCTGTACATGTGGACATGTGGCCCACCCATTGTTATTGTGATTGTGCTTATTGGAATGTTATTTTATGATTGTGTTTATAATTTTATTTTATTATTTTTTATGTAATCTGATGATGTTGTTTATTGTTTATGCTCTGGTATTATTTTGTTGTAATATGTTGTCCGGGCTTGTCCCCATGTAAGCCGCTCTGAGTCCCCATTGGGGAGATGGTGGCGGGGTATAAATAAAGATTATTATTATTATTATTATTATTATTATTATTATTACTCTTGCAGGATAAATATTTGGACAATGATACCATATACTAGTCTGGTGGTCTGTGTGCTATAATGTGTCGTTTTTCAGTGTCTTTTCTGCTTAAATATTTAAAAGCTATATAAAGGATGTAAATGTTGCTGTAAAGAGAAGTATTCTGGTCAAGTCATTTTGACATAAAAATTTGAATTTGGAAATATAATATAGTATAATCCTTGTATCTGATGGAAATATGTTCCAGGAGTTTGCATGGATACATGAAACTACAAGTGGTAGCAAACGAACAGAAATATACCATAGAGCTGCACTGGAGGAATTAGGAAATAGCTAGTCATCATTAGGTCCTCTAGTGAGATATTGTAGTCAACATATGGTAAATATGTACCATAGAATGACCTGGGGGATTTAAAAAATGCCGAAGGAAGTCATATTTTGTCAGACGCAGGTCACTGAAACTGCAGGTAATTGAAACCCCGGATGTGGGAGGAGCGGAGTTGATGTAGAATATCTAACCCATATCAGGGATTCTATATTATTCTTTCTAAATCAAATATTGCAGTTCAAACATGTACACTAAACCAGGTCATTTCTTTAGGGCATTAGGAATGCCCCTAGAATGTTTGCTATAAACCTGCTGTTGGTAAATTCACAAAAACACACTTCCCTTGCCTCTTTTGTTTATGGATAGAAACTGAAAGTCAGTTGCCAATTTGCAAAACTGTCTTACTTGGATTCTGTCTGTGAAAGGTAGCTAAGGTCAGTCACAAAAACCGAAGCCCATGATGGAAAGTTTTTTAAAAATAATCCCAGTATTCGTACCTCTGCAGTGTGTTTGTTACTTACCTGAAAGTCATCCGATGTTGTCCAGATTGATGTGGCTGACTTTGCTTATGATTTGAATGAAACAAAGGTTTGGCTGTTAGAACTTAGAGTTCTTAGAATTCCTTCCATATTAAAATCTGGGCCAAAGGCAACAGTTTCCTAAAACTCCCAAAGTTTGCTGATTGGAAATGTTTGGGATGTCAAACTAAGAGTCAAGAGGGGTCAAATCAGTTCTTACTTCTGAATTCCACCTAATGAATAAACAATCCGATTCCGCCCCTGCAGCCCTCGTGGAAGAGATACAGACCCATGATCGGGAGCAGGTCCGTGAGCTCCTGCCTCGGATCCAGCGACTGACGAAGCAGTGCAGGTGCCACATTGAGAGCTGGCAAGAGGTGCAGGGCACCGTGGATGCCTGGTGAGTAGAAGACAGAGAATGGGGGCAAGGACAAGTCTGGTGTAGTGACTCAAGAGTCTGGAGGGATGGAGTGGTCAAGGCCCCATCTCAGTTCCCTGCTCAGCCATAAATCCCATTTTGGTCAGTTTCTCCTCCTGATCTACTTTACAGAGTTGTTAGGAAATTTAAGAAAGGGGGTGGGATTGATGGTTTTTGTTAACCTCCCTTGGTGGAAAGTCAATATAGGTTGAGGATCCCTTATCTGGAGTTCTGAAATACTCCAAAATCTAACATTGTCCACATGGGTGGCTGAGATAGTGAAGCCTTTGCTTTTTGATGGTTCAATGTACTCAAACTTTGTTTCATACACATAATTATTAAATATTATATAACATTATCTTCAAGCTATGTGTAAAGGTAAAGGTTTCCCATTGACACTAAGTCTAGTCAAGTCCGACTGGGCGGTGGTGCTCATCTTCGTTTCTAAGCCGAAGAGCCGGCATTGTCCATAGACACTTGCAAGGTCATGTGGTTGGCATGACTGCATGGAGTGCCATTGCCTTCCTGCCAAAGCGGTACCTATTGATTTCCTCACATTTGCATGTTTTCGAACTGCTAGGTTGGCAGAAGCTGGGACTAATGATGAGAGCTCACACCGTCCCGTGGATTCAAACCACTGACCTTCCGGTCAGCAAGTCCTGCAGCTTAGTGGTTCAACCCGCTGCGCCACTGCAGCCCCTAAGCTATATGTATAAAGTCTTTTTAAAAGACTCAAATTTCAACATGAAATTGGTTTAAGAAGCTATATGTATAGTCTTAAACTAATTTCATGTTGAAATTTGAGTCCCGTTTCCATAATATTTCCTTATGTACATACTGTAGATGTTAATATAGATATTTCAAAATCTCTCCCCCTCCCCCCCAAAAAATCTGAAATCCAAAACAGCTTAAATTTCTGCTAAGAGATATTCAACCTGTATATATAAATGGAATGAAGCAAGGATCTGAGGGAAATCAGCTTGGTCTTATAAAACCAGCCACTGGAGCTATTGGTCTTATCTGAAAGCTGCACGTCTATATACAAATACAGCTCTATCATTTAAGTGCAGAACTTCTGTTTCTACAATACCATTGCACCTACTCCTCAAGGCAGTCACCTGACTCTTTCTTAATGTTTTGAAAGCTTCAATCTGCCAACTCACACGTGCGATGAGAAGGCTACTGTAGTGAAATATTTTTATTTTTAAATTATTACACTCACACTCCCTTTCATATAGCAAGAGTCAGCAGAGTGTCTTCGTTTAAGTGTCAGAGTACATCCGAAGGCCAAGGTTGGAAGCCTCAGAAGCCTCAGAGCGCAAAGCAAACCCCCTTTGAACAAATCTTGCCAGGAAAACTCCATTAGAGGGTCTCCATGAGTCCAAAATTATTTGAAAGCACACAGCAACAAAATATAAAATAATTTTGCATGGGGCATACAAGATACAATTTTTCAAAAAACAGTAAAAAAAAATCTAAATATAGTCATTAAAACAAAGTAGCTGCACCATGAACTCATTTAAAGGTAGAAATGTATCATTGTTTTAGTATCCTGCATTCAGTTGTGAAAGCTAGCAATTCAAGCTTGATAAACTTGCAGTGTACTACATAGTTGACTATGGAAGTCTTCCCAGAACCCTCTGACATGAGCAGAGAACCTTTAGGGGATCCGGGCTATGGCCATATAGCCCGGAAAACCTACAATAACCCAGTGATTCCGGCCATGAAAGCCTTCAACAATACATTGATCCTTAAAGAGTTTGATAACCAGTGATGCTGGGGTAGGTGGCGGTTCAAGTAAGGTGTGTTGTATCTTGGAAACATTTTGTGCAGAAGCTCTGTTTGCTGGCCATTCATCCCAGTCTTCACTTTCTAGGTGGGAACAACCAGGACAGTTTGTGCTGCCTGGCGAGCGCCGTCATGGCTTCACACTGCGGCAGTGGCTTGAGCGCTGGACCTTGGCCTCCAAGACGTTGCAGCAGCAGAAGTTACACAACTGGATCTGAAAGCAGCACAAGCAATGGCAGTGCCACTTGGCAAGGACGCTCGAGGGCCAGGGTGAACATGGCTTAACAGAAGCATGGTTGTTGAAACATTTATGTACTTTGTTTCACCATTTAGCAGTCACTGACTAAAGGCGAGAGGAGGTTTTGTCTGCACTTCTTGGGAAAATAACCTTGGTAGGTGTGATTCACAAGCAAGTAGTGTGTCTTCATAATTTCAGATTCAGTTGGAATAAACTGATTTTGGAAAATGTGAAATAATTGCATTTCATATCAAATTATAATTCGTGCAGCAGACAATAGCAAAGCGTGTCATTATTGGGAGCAATTGCATCATGTGGACATACACATTTGTCATTGGTTACATCTTGCTCCATCCCTTAGCTGCCCATCTAGATTTGAGGTTGGTGGGCTACACAAAAGTGGGCTTAACTCTTGTGAAATGTAAATCTGGGCTTGACACAGTTTGAGAAGCAAGAAATGAAAAGGCATTGGACAAAAGGAATAACCACTACCTAGAAATTCAAGTCTTTTTCTGCAGAGAGGGATGACATTGTTGGACACTTCCAATTCCTTGTTCTACTCAGAATTTTGAAAACTTACCACTTTAGAGTGAAACCCTTTCCAACCAGCATTACCTACCAATTTGCACAAGCTTTGCTTCCGTCCTCCTTGTTGCTTAAATAGATTGATGGGAAATACAGTATTACATTGTATAAGATAGTCAACGGGTGTGTGAATAACCTTTCTTTAGTTTAAAAAAATAATATTTCTTTTATTCTTTACTTTGTTTTTATTCTGCCTTTCTCCCTGATAACAAAGTGGATAACAATACAATACAAATAGAATGTAAAAACAAAGTAAATACATATACATACGTATGGATATAATAATTAAAAATAAATATTTGTGTCACAAATGTAGAAGTTAAAATACAATTAAATTTACATATGTGGGTTTGAAAAACTCCACAAAACTGTGTTGTATTTAAAAGCCTAGCCGTACTTTCTGTGAAATGGAATGACATACTTTGGAGTGGAACTTCAATGGGGTGGGGTAGGGAAGTACAGCCATGTTTGGGCCTCATGACTTCTTGGAATTCTGTCCAGTTCCTGTTAGCTGAGAGCAAATCAATGTGTTGGTCCATTCTGGCTTATTTTGAACCAAACGAGATATTTATCTGTCTCTGCTCCAGGAAAGCCAGGGAGGTCCTGCTGTCAGGGCCATAGCCAGAAAAAAAAGGGGGGGGGGGTGGTGAAACTTTTTTTAGCGAATCATGAAAAGTAGTTTCATAACACAAAATAATTTAAATGGGTTCATTATATATTTTTATTGAAGTAGAGTCATGCTTATCCAACATAAACGGACCAGCAAAACGTTGGATAAGCGAAAATGTTGGATAATAAGGAGGGGTTAAGGAAAAGCGTATTAAACATCAAATTATGTTATGATTTTACAAATTAAACACCAAAACACCATGTTTTACAACAAATCGACAGAGAAAGCAGTTCAATACATGGTAATTATGTAGTAATTACTGTATTTACAAATTTAGCATCCAAACATCGCAATGTATTGAAACAGCTGTGTATCTGGGCGGGAGGCAGACTGTGTTGGATAATACAAAATGTTGGATGAGTGAAGGTTGGATAAGCGAGGCTCTACTGTAAATCTATTTTCAGGTCTTGAAATAACTGAAAATGGCTATTATTTGGTAATTTATAGTTACAAAAGAATACTACAAGTCTGTTAGAAACCCTTGTAAACTGTGTCAATACACTTGGACAGAAATCAGGCTCCATCGATAAACTTGTCTTGAGAGGGCACTCAAGAGTTCAAGTCCAGTCTTTCTTGCCCCATGTTGCTTCTTATGTATGTTTTCAAACATTTAAGAGTTGAAAATGACCTACTATATAGGCATAGCAGTGGGAACCCTACTATCTGGAAAAAGGGAGCGGGGAGCAAGGTGGGAAAGAGCACAGCAAGGAATGGGCGGGGGGGGGGGGGTAGAGCAGCCTTAAATAGCCTGCAGCTCCACTCCTGTCAACCACCCCCACCAAGTGTGGTCTTCTTCATGAGGGCCTTCAAATCCCCCCTCCAAGTCATGCCTTAGGCTTTGCCTGCCAGTTACGGGTGGGTCAACTTGGTTGCTTCCACTATATCAGCTATTACTGTAATGACCGTGTGAACAAATCGTCAAAATTTACATGAGATAGTGCTTGCAGTTCTTGTTTAATGTTTGCTTCCCATAGACTTAGCATGGGGATTTGGTTGACCAGTTAAATTCATGAGTACCCCCCCCCCCTTTGGCTACAGCCCTGCCTGCTGTATTCGCATGTTACAGTAAACAAAGTATAGGTTGACAACCAGTGGTTGGTTTGTCTGCTCCTTCTATAAGCAAGGAACAGGAGCAAATGATTCATATACAGTTGTTTGGGAGTTCCATGGACCTCTGAACCATGATCCAATCATGACGTTACACACACAATTCCAGGTTGTGTGACTTTGTGCCCTTCAGGCTTTATGGAAGGTCATATCCATGACCTTGCACAACCTTATATGCACAAATGCACAACTCTTCTCCCTGCCATTTGGGTTCAGCTCTGATCTCTGAGCTGAAACAGCTATTGATCGGTCAAGAAGATCTGGAGTTTTCCCTTTCAAAAGCATCCCTATTTCTGTTGCTGAAAAGCTGAGAATGAGTTCAAGATGTACAGTTTTAGGTATCTGATAATCTCACAGTCTGGGTCAAAATTATGACATAACCCTATACATTTTGAAGCAATTCATACTGATGTGTTGTCAAAGGCTTTCATGACCAGAATCGCTGGGTTGCTATGAGTTTTCCAGACTGTATGGCCATGTTCCAGAAGCATTCTCTCAATATTTCGCCCACATCTATGGCAGGCATCCTCAGAGGTGAGGTCAGTTGATTCCTCAACCTCTGAGGATGCTTGCCATAGATGTGGGTGAAATGTCAGGAAATAATGCTTCTGGAACATGGCCATACCTCCTGGAAAACTCACAGCAACCCAATTCATACTGAGTTTGGTGAGGATTGATTCCAGGCATGTGGAGATAAAATTGCTGCCCAAGAAACCGACCCATTAGACCACTGTAATCTTCAGATGGATACAAATAGTTAAGTATACAATGTCAGTGATTAAGATCATAGCATTCAGTACATAAAAAGCTACCAACTCTGCTTTCTTTCAAAAAGGGCCTTTGTGCTACATATATGGAGCCTGCCAAGTGTTCCAAACTGTTCAATCCACTACTTAATATTGTGAGGGTTTTGACTGTGCTCATTACTCTTTGCAGTTTATTTGGGATGTATGTATTATTTTCTTGCATTACAATTCATATTATAGACATTACACCAAAATGTCAATAATACTTTAAATTGAAAAACATGAAACAATTCCCCACCAGAGCAATAGAAGAATATCATAGTTTACACTTCCAGTGACCATTTAAAGATTCATCTTTATTTTAGATGAAAAATCATGGTAAGATGGACAATTTTAGGGCCGACCTAAAAACTAAAAGTGAAGGTTGTGATGGAATTAAAATCATGTGTAGTTCACATTTGATCAGCCCACACACTGCCTTGCCAGAGGAAGAAAATATACCATGCAAATAAAGAACAAGAAGTTTACTCTTCGTAATTCAGAACAACGTATTTCAATTCATGTGATTGGTGGCACCGACTCACATAATGTCCCTTTAAGAGATACTTAAAATGGTTTTTCTTTGTCCATGTGGAGAATCTCCCTCCAGCAGCTCATGAAGCAAGAGCACACTCCAAACTCTTGTCTCTCTCTGCTTCTTTCTGAGCACCTGCATAGCCCAAGCCTGCAAAATATAACTATCCAAAAGTCCCAGGCTCAACCAGCTCCCTGGGCGTAGCCCAACCAGTCATGCATCTTATTTTACGGTTGATATACACACATTAGCTGACTTTTTACATGCCCAAACAAAAGCAGCAATCAGATCTTTTTGGTTTGGGAGTTCCACAGATAATGTGGCCATTCTTGAAAAAACCTCCGTGTAAATCCAGTTCTTAGTCCCAACGAGAATATGGACAAGGGAACTTAATAAACTGTTGACTTAACAATACTTTTGGTGGGTCTGCTCTAACTGAAACTAATATATTATTGTAGTCCTCTTTTTCTGTTATGAAGGTACGGGTCCTGCCCCAAATGGATTGTCATGTAGAAACCAACTCAAGAGACAAAAGGCTGAAAGGGAGGGAAAGATAAAAGAGGAAGAATGTATTTTGTGTCTTAAAATGCTCATCAAGTAAAGCGATTTGGGGTTTGTGTGTGTGTGTTTAAACATAATCTCCATAAACTTAAAAAAAAGTAGTTAACTAAAAGTATTCAGCCATTCCATTTTTGGGAAGTTACTTTCAGATAATAAAACTGCATGCTCCCGCACATGAGAGATCCATCTGCCAGTTTACAGATCAGTGAAACTGGTGGAAATCTTCAACTGGCACATCGGCTTGGACTGTCTCTTGATCCCGTAATAAGCAGCAGATTCCACCTGAAAATTAGGAATAACTTCCTAACTGTGATAGCTGTTCAGCAGTGGAACTCACTGTCCCGGACTGTGATGGAGGCTCCTTCTTTGGAGGCTTTTAAACAGAGGCTGGATGGCCATCTGTCGGGGTGCTTTGAATGCAATTTTCCTGCTTCTTGGCAGGGGGTTGGACTGGATGGCCCACGATGTCTCTTCCAACTCTGATTCTATGATTCAATGTTTATGCCAAGCCTGTTACCAGCTTTGCTTTGAAGGAGAGCATAAATGATGAAGAGCAGTCTATAAAAGAGCTTCACCTACTATCTCTTCTGGCATTCCAAAGGTTTTTGGAGATATATATAGGTATCAATGTCCTTCTTACATGCTACTTGTGTTCTCTAGCTCCGAATTATTTCAGAAAATTGATCCTGAATGTCACGGACAAAACGATACACGTAGCGCTGACCGCTGGTCTTGTGAATGATATTTTTATGGTAATAATAGCGTAAGCCCCGACTCAGTTTCTCATAGGTCATGCGGGGCTTGTTCTTCCGTTTACCCCAGCGCCTTGCCACCTAGAAAGGTTTGAGAAGAAGGGAAAAGTTACAGGTTCTGAAGGCACCCAGTGTGCTCAGTCATCTTAGATCAGCATTTCTCAACCTGGGGGTCGTGACCCCTGGGGAGGGTCATGATGGGGTGTCAGAGGGGTCACCAAAGACCACCAGAAAACACAGTATTTTCTGTTGGTCATAGAGGTTCTTTGTGGGAAGTTTGGCCCAATTCTATCATCAGTGGGGTTCAGAATACTCTTTGATTGTTGATGAACTATAAATCCCAGCAACTACAACCCCCAAATGTCAAGGCCTATTTTCCCCAAACTCTACCACATTTGTGCATATTGAGTATTTATGCCAAGTTTGGTCCAGATCCATTATTGTTACACAGTGCTCTCTGGATGTAGCTGAACTACAACTGCAAAACTCAAGGTCAATGACCACAAAACCCTTCCACTATTTTCCATTAGTCATGGGAGCTCTGTGTGCCAAGATTGATTCAATTCAATCTTTGGAGTTCAGAATGCTCACTGATTGTAGGTTAACTATAAATCCCAGCAACTACAACTGCCAAATGACAAAATTTGGGAGTATTTGTGCCAAATTTGGTCCAGTGAATCAAAATACATCCTACATATCAGATATTTACATTACAATTCGTAACAGTAGTGAAATTATGGTTATAGCAACAAAAATAATTTTATGGTTGATGGTCACCACAACATGAGGAACTGTATTAAGGGGTCTCAGCATTAGGAAAGTTGAGAACCACTGTGGTAGGGGAACCAATCTCTTCTACTAATGTCATTTACACACTATTCGCAAACACATGTGGGTCCTAGTCATATATTATAATGTCTGGGATCTTGTTTTTACAGATACATTTGCTTTTTATGTTACATTTTAAATGTTGAATTGTTTTTACAGTTGTTTTAACTGTATTTTGATATTTGTTATGGCATCGAATCACTGTCGATTGTGAGTCGCCTCTGGCTGAGAAAGGTGGTATACAAATGCGGTAAATAAATAAATAAATATACTTCTTAAAATACTACGTGAAGTGCGCCAAACATTAGCTGAAACTTTTGTGCCATTCTTTTGGCTTATTTGGCAATAAGATTATTTGAATATCAGAGCCTTACAACATGGATAATTGTAACACCATCTTGCTGACCACAGTGAGAAACCCACACTAGTTGGGCAGGGACGCTACTGTTTACGCCCATTCTGTTTCCCATCTGTTATTCAGAGGTAGTTAGGAATGGATACATTAGTCTATTTCAGTCCATGTTGGTTTCGTATGTGCATATTCTGTACAGCGCTGTCTGTTTCATCATTTTTAAGAAACGACAATCAAGCTCATAAATATATATTTTAACTTATTTTTTTTCACAAAACATGCTTTTCTAAATATACTTATTTTCAAGTTATGTATTTTAAACACTTTGCCCTAAAGTAAGGGTACTTTATATGGTTGCTGAGATATTGTTTAAGCAAAAAGTACTGAAATTCCTTTCTGGTTTGCTCCTTCAAATTTAGGGGATGGGGTTTTGGATGAAAGTGCAGGCTCAACTTTTACATATGGAAGGAATGTTCTGCTAGGGATATAATGAGCAGGTATAACATCACAGGTTCATAAGGTGGAGAGAAGGGGACCTCACCTCATGAGGATCACACAGCTTAAATTCCCAGCCATTCCCTGTCCAGCAGATGAAGGCTTGGCATGAGCCATCTTGCAGCAGTTCCAACAGAAACTGCCAGAGCTGAATGGGTCCAGAACCTGCACAGAAATAAATGCCAATGTGAATAAGAGTAAGACCTCCAATGGAGCTTGAACTCAGAGCTGTTGTAATATAAGAGTGCAACTCAGGAACAAGGAAAGCCATTCTTCTGAACCAAATGCAGATGGCTTCTTTATCTAAATCCCCAGGCAGCTCCAACACATTCGAAAGGCATGGCAAGAAGGGCATAGCACACTACTGTGGTCTACTTTCTCCCAACAGTGATTCAAAGCAGTTAAATGGAAATGAAAACTTACTACCTTCAAAACATGGCAAGCACAAAATTTGTCGGAACAATATTTTACACCTTTTTGATCACACAGAAAACTGTTTCGATGCCTGGCTCAAAGCAGTAAGTGTGAAAAAGTTCTTGGGAGTCCTCGTGGACAACAAGTTAAACATGAGCCAACAATGTCATGCGGCAGCTTAAAATGCCAATGGGATTTTGTCCTGCATAAATAGGAGTCGAGTGTCTAGATCCAGGGAGGTCATGCTACCTCTCTATTCGGCCTTGGTTAGACCACATCTGAAATCACACTGTGTCCAATTCTGGGCACCACAATTGAAGAGAGATATTGACAAGCTGGAATGTGTCCAGAGGAGGGCGACTAAAATGATCAGGGTTCTGGAAAACAAGCCCTATGAGAAGTGGCTTAAAGAGCTGGGCATGTTTAGCCTGAAGAAGAAAAGGCAGAGAGGAGAGGACCATGGATAAGTATGTAAGGGGACATCATAGGGAGGAGGGAGCTGGCTTGTTTTCTGTTGCCCTGGAGACTAGGACGAGGAACAACAGCTTCAAACTATAGGAAAGGAGATTCCACCTGAACATTAGGAAGAACTTCTTAAATATGATTGCTGTTCAGCAGTGGAACTCTCTGCCCCAGGGTGTGGTGGAGGCTCTTCTTTGGAAGTCATTGTCAGGGGTGCTTTGAATGCGATTTTCCTGCTTCTTGGCAGGGGGTTGGACAGGATGGTCTACAAGGTCTCTTCCAACTCTATAATTCTATGAAAATATAACAGAAACATCAAAGATCTGGGAGACCCTCAAAAGCAAGATGTTCTTAAGTTTGGAGTGCCTTATGCAGTCTGGGGTGCCTTATGTTTGAGAGCTGGTATTTTTTTAAAGAAACCTAGTTCCAAAGGCACCCCTGATGGCACAGCAGGTTAAAACGCAGAGCTGCTTAACTTGCTGACAGAAAGGTCAGTGGTTCAAATCCAGGGAGCGGGGTGAGTTCTCGCTGTTAGCCCCAGGTTCTGTCAACCTATCAGTTTGAAAATATGCAAATGTGAGTAGATCAACAGGTTCTGCTCCAGCAAGAAGGTAATGGCATTCCATGCAGTCATGTCGACCACATTACCTTGGAGGTGTCTACGGACAACACCAGCTTTTCGGCTTAGAAATTGAAATGAGAAGCACTCCCTGGAGTTGGACATGACTAGACTTAATATCAAGGCGAAACCTTTACCTTTACCTTACTAGTTCCAAATCATTTTGGATTTCAAAAGCACTACCACTTGAAATACTATATCCTGTACCCTCCTGTTCCAATCCTTATTCAGTTTTACCTGTCTGGGACACAATAGTGGCACCAGCTTCTCTCCATGTCTTTCGCTCTCTTTTTCTCCGGATCTTCTTGGGTGGCTCACAGTGACATGAATCGCAATCTGCAGTGCTGTGTTGGTTAAAGATGGCTGGCTCAGGCGTCTTATCCCAGTAATGGGATGGCATCACCCTTGAGAAGGCTTGCTCTGAAAGGAACAATGGTACACGAAGGGGGAAACAGTGGAAAAGGGATGGACACAAGTAGAGGATGAGGGTGATTACTTATGAAATCATTTCTCTCTTATTTGCTAAATTGTAAAAAATATATACTGTATATGTCGCCTATGATGTCTTCTAAACTCCCTCAGGAGGAAATGTGGTTATGTTATACTCTACCTGATTTCTGATAATAGGAGCACAGAGCTTGGGGTTGGGTGAAAAAGAATAGGAATCCTCAATGTCCTCTAACCTTTTTTGGACTTTTGGGAAAGAGGATATTGCTTAAAGGCAGGACACTCTGTACATCTGTAATAGGGACAGACAATTGTTGGAAATGTCAACCTTCTCAAGCCTCCATCAGTTGTTTGTTATATATATAATTGCTTACTGTATTGTATATGTGTGAATTAGTTTGCAATTTTACGAGGGTTGACTTCTTCCATGATGGCTTCAGAAAACTTGTTCATCATTGGCAGAAATGTATCCAATTGTCTGATGATTATGTGGAAAAGTGAATAGTGGTAGCTAAAAAGCACATTCTAAGGATTTTTTCTGCATTTCATTTATTAAAATATTCTCATCCAAACCCAAGTAACGAAGATGGAGGCATTACTTTTCATTCAACCCGTGATCAGGTCTGGGCTTGTTCAGGGCTCAGACTCCATTTTAGAAGTTTTTCCCTTTAGAAGACTTTATGAACAGTTCAGCTTGGAGACTTCCGTAGAAACAGATGTATGCTTTGAGAAGTTAGTTGAAACAGACCACAAATACTCAATTAGACTCTCAAAACAGAGAGATGCTTTGGACCATTGACTATGGATTCTAAGGAAGATGCCCTGTGCTACCCACACAGAGAAACTACATCAAATCCACTTGTAACTGGATTGATAAGCAAAGTACCTGTATGCTGAATACATGAAGTTTGTGAGTAAACCTGTTGGAAATAGCAATCTTCCAAGCTTCCACTAACTCAGCGTTTCTCAACCTGGGGGTCAGGACTGCTCTCTGACAGTAAGTGAACTATAAATCCCAGCAACCTCAACTCCAAAATGTCAAGGTCTATTTTCCCCAAAGTCCACCAGTGTTCACATTTGGACATACTGTGAGACATACATGAGTCCACAGTGTTCTCTGAATGTTGGTGAACGACAACTCCAAACCCTTCCAGTGTTTTTTGTTGCTCATGGGAGTTCTGTGTGCCAAGATTGGTTCAATTCAATCATTGGTGGAGTTCTGAATGCTCTTTGATTGTAGGTGAACTATAAATCCCAACAACGACAACGTCCAAATGTCAAGGTCTATTTCCCCCCAAACTCCACCAGTGTTCACATTTGGACATACTGAATATCCACACAAGGTTTGTCCAGGCCCATCATTGTTTGAATCCACAGTGCTCTCTGGATGTAGGTGAACTACAACTCCCAAACTCAAGGTCAATGCCCACCAAACCCTTCCAGTATTTTCTGTTGGTCATGGGAGTTCTGTGTGCCAAGTTTGGTACAATTCCATCGTTGGTGGAGTTCAGAATGCTCTTTGATTGTAGGTGAACTATAAATCCCAGCAACTACAACACCCTAATGACAAAATCAATCCCCTCCAACCCCACCAGTACCCAAATTTGAGCGTATCAGGTATTTATGACAAATTTGGTCCAGTGAATGAAAATACATCCTGCATATCAGATATTTACATGACGATTTATAACAGGAGCAAAATTACAGTTATGAAGTAGCAACAAAAATAATTTTATGGTTGGGGTCACCACAACATGAGGAACTATATTAAGGGGTTGTGGCATTAGGAAGGTTGGGAAACACTGCACTATTTGTTAATGTATATATTTGTTAACCTGTATTCTATGTGTATGCTGATTTGTCAGTTTGGCATATCTCTTTGGTCTGGGAGGAGTTATAGACATAATTGTACTGAGCATGTGCAGACTCAAGACTCCATGTTATGTTCAGTTTGCATCAGATCTCTGTGGAGGTGGATGCATATTTGCTTTTGGAAGTCTGCTTACCACTTCATTGGAGGTGGATGTGTGTGCTCATGGTCTTGAGTGAGTACAGATATATTTGAAGACATTGAAAGACTATGTGCCCATATGGTGAATATATACAAGTCTGTTAGTAACACTGATATGTTATTTTTCAAAGAATATGACTTAGTTTTGTCACTTGAGTGCATGTTTTAACTAAGAGTTTTTAAGGGCGTGTACATCTTTTTGGGCAATTACAACTGCAAATTCTACTTCAAAGAAACAACCATCCTCTACTAACCAGATATATTTTGTAGTGGCATGCCTTTATCCTTGGCTGTTCAAAGACATGGTTCTTCAGTTTAACAGCTGAGCTACCTGTGTGCTATTATTTACTTACTTACTTACGACATTTATATGCCACCCTTCTCACACCGAAGGAGATTCAGAATGGCTTACAATATATGTGTGTGTGTGTGTGTGTGTGTGTGTGTGTGTGTGTGTATACACACACACACACACACACACAATATATTATATTATTAGCATAGTATAATATTATATTGTAATATTATTAGTAATATTACATGTGATATAAAATATATAATTATAATATATAATTATATTATATTATATTATAATATTATAAATATTATATGTATATACAATATATTACATTAATACTTTATGAATATTACTTGTCTTAAGAGTTGACTTCTAGCAATACTTTTCTTTTGACTAGTGGTTTTCAGGTGGTCTCAATGTTCATGGGGACTAACATTTATCAAACGGAGGTGACTTCATTTTTACATTTGCAATAAGGTTATGATGCACTGGAATTTCCAATAGATTGTGGAATTTACAAGTATTTTACTTTTAAAGAAGTCTGCTTATATATGTTTCTTGAGAGCATGATCTAAAGGCAACTATATTTTAATGGAGAATAGATGTTTTTGGGCAACTAAAAGGAACACTTCTGAAACTCTGTAGAAGATATATTTATATATGAATGTATATGTGTATAAACTAGCTGTCCTCTGCCAGGCGTTGCTGTGGCCCAGTCTGGTGATCTGGAAAATAAAGTAACGAGAAAGTGTTGATTTCTAATATACATAATTTCTTTATGTTTGAGGGTAAACAGTATTTCTTGCTGTTTCTATGTCAGTGTTGATGTGGAGATTGTCTGGTTTGCCTACTCTGGAACATGCAACATATAATTGTCTTTCTTTAGGGGTTTCTTTCAAATCTATGATACTATATATCTCTCTGTGTGCATGTGAATAATATATATCTATCTGCATCTATGGCGGGTCGCTTTTTGTCAGGAGGGCTTTGATTATGTTTTTTTGCCCTGGTGAAGGGAGTTGGACTGGATGGGTTGGGAAATGGGGGTTCTGTGTGGGAAATTTGCCCCAATTCTGTCATTGGTGGGGTTCAGAATGCTCTTTGATTGTATGTGATCTATAAATCCCATTAACTACAACTCCGAAATGTCAAGGTCTATTTCCCCCAAACTCCATCTGTGTTCATATTTGGGCATATAGAATATTCATGCCAAGTCTGGTCCAGATCCATCATTTTTTGAGTCCACAATGCTCTCTGGATGTAGCTGAACTACAACTCCCATACTCAAGGTCAATGCTCACAAAACCCTTCTAGTGTTTTCTGTTGTTAGTCATGAGAGTCCTGTTTGCTACGTTTGGTTCAATTCCATCATTGGTGGAGTTCAGAATGCTCTTTGATTGTAGATGAACTATAAATCCCAGCAACTACAACTCCCAAATGACAAAATCAAATTTTTGAGTGAAGGGCATACATTGGGTTGTTAGGTCTTGTGTCCAAATTTGACAGCAATTCGTCCAGTGGTTTTTGAGTTGTGTTAATCCCACAAATGAACATTACATTTTTATTTATATAAATATGTGAGAGGAAGTCATAGGAAGGAGGGAGCAAGTTTGTTTTCTGCTTCCCTGGAGACTAGGACGCGGAGCAATGGCTTCAAACTACAATAAAGGAGATTCCATCTGAACATGAAGAAGAACTGCCTGACTGTGAGAGCTGTTCAGCAGTGGAACTCTCTGCCCCAGAGTGTGGTGGAGGCTCCTCCTTTGGAGGCTTTTAAACAGAGGCTGGATGGCCATCTATTGGGGGTGCTTTGAATGCAATTTTCTGGCATGAGAGAATTGGCCGTCTGTAAGAACGTCCTCTCACATAGGGAGTTGGAGCTGACAGAGGGAGCTCAACCTGCTCTTCCCAGATTCAAACCACTGATCTGTCGGTCAGCAGTCCTGCTGGCACAAGGGTTTGACCCATTGCACCACCAAGGACTCTATAAACGAGGCGGTCTCCTATGTTCTTACCTTTCTCTTGTTCCGTCCATGGAACTGCAAGCAAAGGCTGCTGTGGGGAGAGTTGTTCTCCAGGGGAAGAAAAGCACTGCGGAGAAGTCAAGGGCTGTGGAGCAGCAGGGACAGGACAGCAATTCGCCTCCATATGTGATGGGACACACTCCTGCTGGAGGACTGACCTGGAAGCTGAAGGCAGGAAAGGCCAAAAAAGAAACATCACCGGGAAGCTCATCTTACCACTGTATCCATGTTATCTATACTCAGAACCATCTGTATCTTATGATGATGTTTATTTATTTATGTACTTTGTAGTAACTTTCCAACTACTGTTTCATAGCATTGATCCATAATAGTCAGTGTCGGAACTACATTAATTCTGTGATTCAGATGCACCTATACCAGGCATGGGCAAACTTCGGCCCTCCAGGTGTTTTGGACTTCAACTCCCACAATTCCTAACAGCCAATAGGCTGTTAGGAATTGTGGGAGTTGGAGTCCAAAACACCTGGAGGGCTGACGTTTGCCCATGCCTGACCTATACTGATCCTTACTAAATTTTCCTTGGGGTGTTACATTGTTTCAGATCTTATTGTTTACTGTTTAGATCAACTTTCAGTAACAGAAAAGGCAGGAACAATTAAAAATAATACTTTTTCCAACTTAATT